CTTTGGGCAGCATCCAAGGCTGAGAGCAGCAGCTCCGCAAGGACCCAGGGATACCGAGCCTGTCCTGCAGTGAGTTGAATGGGCCATCTCCTTAGGGCATGCGACAGTTTGGGTTGGTTCGTTTATTTTAACTCATTTGGGGGCTGGAAGGATGCCTGTGGAGAGCCACGTGGCAGCAGGGAAGGAGATTGCTTGGCAGCTCCTTTCCTTCGCTGAGTACTTTGCAGAGCTGTGGGTGAAGGGGAGGTGGTCTCCATCCCTCCTGGGGCAGTTCATTTGGCACTTGCAAAATGCTTCTGCGTGAGGAGCGGGAAGATGGATGCTGCTCTCCGTAATGGTGGGGCAGCTCAAGCCGTGTGTTTGTCTGGGCAGCCGAGCACCAGTATGTCTCAAACTCTGGAGGAGATGAGGTCAGATGATTTTCTGGGAGATGATGACCTTTGACTAGGTTTCCTTCTGGAAGTGGAAAAGAACCACCACATTTTCCCAAAGGAGATATATTCTTTACTTCGCAAGAAGGAAAGGAAAAGAGAAAGTCTGAATTATTCTTGCTGACCTTCTCCTGACTTTCTCTAAAGAAGCTGTTTGTTGCTGTGTTTGGAAAGGCTCGTTCCTGTCCCAGAAGAGCTTCTGCCAGCATTGGGGATGGCTGCCTGCCTTGGGCTGGACGGGAGCGGGAAGGTTGTGCAACCTCCCGCTTCTGCTGCTGGATCTCGGGGTCAAGGCCAACACAAACAAGTAGCATCCCTGAAATGATGAAATGATCTGTTTGTCCAAAGCTACTTTCAGCTGAAGAAACTACACTCTCCTTACAAATACTAACCCTGTTGTCATTTTTGTCCGAGGACTATTTAATGGCCCTGACCTAATCTCAGAAGACCACTGGCGGCAGGAGCAGGGGTGATATTTCAAAGGCTCCTGGTCAAAAGTTCATGTTCAATAATCGTGCCTTTATGCAGGAGATGCCATTTGTTATGTTGCAGCTCGCAGTAATCATGCTGGATGCTCTCTTTTTGTGTTGGCAGTTCTTCGTTTTCTGCCACGGGCTCCTACAGCTCTCCCAGCTCCTGGTCTCTGGCTATCTGAAGAGCTCCATCTCAACCATCGAGAGACGATATGGCCTCTCCAGCCAGACGTCGGGGCTCCTGGCTTCCTTCAATGAGGTGAAAACCAGCTTGCTTCTCCTAGTCTACCTAGTGAATGCTCTTCCTGTGCTCCTGTCATTCCCTTGTGAGACCTCTTGGTCTGTGTGTCCTGCTGCAGGTTGGGAACACTTTGCTGATCGTCTTCATAAGTTACTTTGGGAGCCGAGTGCACAGACCTCGTTTCATCGGTTGTGGTGCCATCCTCGTCTCCTTGGCTGGGTTCCTCATGTCTCTCCCCCACTTCATAACTGGACCCTACAAGTATGACCAGTCTGTTGCCAGTAGGTACTCTAGGAACTTCCTTTATGCCTTTTCAGACAGATAAAGGGAACGTCCTTCCCTTGAGGGGTTGGAAGCTGCAAGTTGTGGGTTTGTCCTTAAGGATTTTTAATTTTCTGAGAATGAAATCACCTTAGTCCTGAGAGGCAACAGCTGATGGTGGGAAGCAGAGCCGGGGGACAGCTGGAACCACAGGAAAGGGCATGAAATCCATCAAAACATAGGCTGTGCCTCTGATTCCCCTTGTCTTCTGCACATCCAGGCAGCAGACAAACACCGGAAGGTCTTCTCCAGCCACCAGGGCTCTCATCTTCCGTGAGTTGAGCCAAGTTGTCCTCATGGGCATGAACTGCTCCCTTATTTTCATGACATAGATAAGATAAGACCTCATGAACTCTGAAGCCCATAAAGGGAAGGAAACAAGAAGCGCAGGAAGGAGCTTGACTTGACCCAATGGGGGTGAAATGCCCTAATTTCACACCTAACTTCTTCTGCTTTTGGGGCACCTCACCTGTCTTCCCCTGTCTAGCTGACCTGTCTTTGAGGGAATGCTTTGAGTTTTTAGACCCCACCAGAAAATCAACCTCTTGTGAAAGAAACATGCAGGTGTAAATCACTCATGGAGGAGCAGGTCAGGGTGGATTGGGGATTTTCTCCGTGAAAGAAGGTGAAGGGGTGAGAAAAGAAAGGAGAAAACCGCTCTCTTGTTACTTTCCCAAATCCTGCCATGAAGCTCCAGCAAATCTTTCGGAAAGCTCCAGTAAACAGCTTTTCTCTGGCTCGCCAGAGAGAGCACAGCTGGTTCACTCAGCTGCAGCCAACCAAAAGAAGACTAAATAGGTGAATAATTCATGGCTGCAGACAGGGCTCAGGTGCTAACGAGAGTTTGGCAACAATTAGCCGTGCGTTCCAGGAGCGCGGGTGCAGGTGGTCCAGTGTCGAGCACTCAGAGTCGCATGTGATTTGGGGCATAACCATGGAAATCCTGCTATAAACACCACCCCCTCCCCCAGTATTTTAAGGAAGATAAGGGTGCTGGAATCAGCACTTTCGCTTAGGCAGCTTTGTAATCCATTTCTGGGTAAAACGGGTTCTCGTTTCCTGAGTAGCTGTTCACAAAACCTGCACTTTTGCTCACTTGCCTTTGTCGCAAGGTCTATCGAAGGTCCTGGAGGAGATCTGAGCTCTGCTTTTTCGATGGAGGCGGCTTTTTGCCGCACGTGCGTCCACCTCACTGTGGACGTCTGCGCCGTAATATTTGCACTTTGCATTTTCTTCCGCTGACGTTTCGCACCCGGCACCTACCGAGTGCATATCCACCTGCTTGCTGTCTTAGGGCACCTCCTTCTCCAGGCTGACCCCCTTAGACCTGCTCCCCTTGTCATCGCAGGCGTGTTCAGCAACGCCACCGACCTGTGCCAGCCCGGGGTGCCGGGGCCCCGGGGGAACCTCAGCGACGCCGGCTGCACCCCCCGCGCTGCCAGGGAGAACCACGAGGTTCTCCTCGTCATGTTCGTCGCCCAGGCGCTGCTGGGCATCGGCGGCGTCCCCATCCAGCCCTTCGGGATCTCCTACATCGATGACTTCGCCAGCGAGAGGAACTCCCCCCTCTATTTGGGTAAGGCTGGGGCTGCTGTGGGAAGAGGGGAAGGCAGAATTAGTTGGCCAGGCCAGGCAGCACTAATTTGCGTTAACGAGAGCGCAGCCTGCTACAGCCCTTTCTGCTCTGCCCGGCGCTAGGAAGGTTCCTGCAAAAACAGTTTATCTGCTTCAAGCTTGGACAAACTGCAGACAGACCTGGAGTGCTGGAAAACATGATTTGGGGGAGTTGCTGGGATTTTTGACCTGGGAATGATAAACCGGAGTTTTATGATGGGTTATAATGAATGATAAAGATAATGATACGATAGAGAATCATAAAACCATATCTGTCCTCCTCCAAAAAGGCTTCAACAAGATGTGGAATAACCTGATCTCTGTGTTCACAGGAGGCAGCGATGGGCTTAAGATGCAGCAGTGAAGACTTTGTTTAGTTATAGGGAAAATTCTAGGAAGCTAAAAAAGCAGGACCAACCACCTGGGAGGTGGGCAAGTATCCTTCAGTGGAGGGGGTGCTGGAGAACAGCTTGGGCACACAGCTGCCAGGGATGTCCCAGGGTGGTGGGATGGACAAGGTGGTCCTTGCAGGTCCTTCTAGCCCCTTTCCAGCCGTTATCTGTGACGGCCTTTTGAACTGAATGGGACAGCAAGGTTGGCTCAAAACCAGGTTATTGCTGTCAAGAAACTGGAAGTAAGGCATCAAGTTTTGCTCTGGTAGATGCTCCAAACTTCTGAACCGTGTTTGACAAGATGATCTGTAAGATAGGAGTTGAATCTTACATGTGTTTAATTTTTTTATCAGTAATTCACATAGGACAGTTTGCTGATAACTTTTATCTCCTTAACCTTGTAAAAAACCCTTTGCATTTCCTGTATTTCTTATGCCAAGGGGCACATCTTGTTCCTGGGTGTATTTCAGTCTTTCTAGGAGGCTGAAGAAAAGTGGCAGGAAAGATCTGAGTTTTGCAAAACATTTTCTGTGAAGGAGCTTGGGAAGCATGGGGTTGTTATCCTTCAAAAGGTGTGAGATAAGCAGGCTGCAAGGAAAACAGCCCGTGCCGGAGGCATTTGGGGTGGACCCTGCTTCAGCCTGGTGCTGCCACGGGGCATCTCCGGTCCCCTGCGGTCCCTTCACGCGGGGCTGAGCCCTTCTCTGCTCTCGCCCCTCTGCAGGGATCTTGTTCTCCGTGACTGTCATCGGGCCGGGGGTGGCCTTCATGCTGGGCTCTGCCATGCTGCGTTTTTACGTCGACATCGACAAAGTTACCGGAGGTGGGTGGACGTGCCATCGGAGAGCCGACCGGCACCCTTCGCGTTGCATCCCGTTTACTGAGCCAGCAGCGGTCCGGCCCCTCTCTGGGCATCCCGACCCCCAAGGGAGGAGGGTACAACCTGTGGGGCAAGGGCTTGAACCCTTTGCCTGTTAAATCACTGCCATCACCTGGGGATGCTCGGGGACCGGTCCCGTCAGTGCTTGGGGTGCATGCCCCAAATAAGTGGGTCCTTCCCACCCGACTCGGTGTCACACACAGGTTTAAACCTGGCCCTGTGGCTGCTGGAAACCCACGTTTTAATCAACCTGCAGACCTGGGGGTCCCTCACCCCTGGGCTGGTGCCAGGTTTGGTTAGAGGGATGCCCATCCGTATTGTGCTTTTAGAGCAGACCTGGTTTTCAGTCTTCTGCGAATTTTCTGCCACACGCCAGCAACAGCAGCGGGAGCTTTTTGCCATGAGCCAGCACTGGGGAGAAGTGGGGATGTGGAGGATGAGCAAAACCCAGAAAGAAGCATGAAGGAGAAAGATGGAGGGGAGAAGTAAGAGAGAAGGAATGGAGCATGGGTACCAGGACCCCAAGACATGAAGAAGCAGAGGGAAGGGTGGGGTAGAAGGAAGGTGAAGACAAGTAGAAGAGAAAAGCCGGGTAGGGCAAAAGAGGAGCATGAAAGGGATTTCCTTTGAAAGCTCTTCTTGAGCCCTGCTAGCAAAGCACTTGTAGTCATCTCCTTTTTGGCTGATCTTGAATCCCGTCCTGGAAAACAAGAGGCTCTTTCCCGGTTGTTAACGGAGCAAACACACGTCACAGAGCTCCGCGTATCCTCACGTGAGGAAGAGGATGGTGGACAGGCTCCTTTGGGCGGTGAGCAGGCAGCACCAGGGCTGGAGCTGGGTGAGCAGTGCCTGTTCACACTTACAGATACGTTAGTTTTGGCTCCTTCTCGGTGCCTCCAGCTCACTCCTGCTCACTGACTTCACCAGACCTTTTTTCACCTGGGCTTCGTCACTCGACACGTTTATGGTATTTGCAGCACAAGAGCCCGCTCTCGTCTCGACTTTGCCTCCTCTTACCAGGGGACCTCCAAGGTTATTGCTGCAGCTATCCATCCTCCTCCTCCTCACCTCAAGGTGAACCTTGTCGAGGTGCCTGGAGTCTTGGCGCGTCTGCCCGTGAAGGACGAAGCAAGAGGGTTAGGGTCCGCTGTCTGCCTGCACACCCTGACGCCCAGTTCGTCTAAGCCATTTTCTGCAGAAGGACGTTGAATGAGGAATGTGCCTGAGTAATCCAGAACTGGAGGAAACCCAGTTTTAGAGCTGTCTTCAGCCTAAAGATGTCTTCAGCCTTCTGGGGAAAGCTAGTGAGCCGTGGCTGCTTCCTGCTAAATCTAATTTAACCTCATGTTTTCCTAGAAAAAAACTTGGTGTATATTCAGAAAGGGATTTAAAATCCCAATTTGCTAAATGCATCGTGCAGGGAGGAGATTATCAAATTTCTTTGAGCTATCACTTGTTACTTCCAGAGATGGGAGATTAGATGTGGCAGCACCCACCATACCAAAAATCCAGTAATCTGGTTGCAGTTTTAATTGCAACCCCTTGGTGAGAACAGCTCACTTGTGTTAAACCTCACAGTTAAGGAAGAAGTTTCTGGGAGGACATATTTCCTGGGCTTGCTCGTGAATGCTATCTAACCACAGGTATTCCCTTTTTCTGTAGAAACTTTTCTTCATTCAGACTCACCCTGTTGTGAATTTCCATTCTGGCTTCTGCATATCCCGTTTTATTCATGCCAAGCACCCCAGCCCCCAAAAAATGTAATCTTTGGCAGAGTGCTCTGAGGGCCACAGGAGAAGAAGCTGGGTGAACTGAAGGAAGGTGATCAGGGGAAAGGGATATAATCCTTCTTAAAGGATTTTTTTAAGATTGGCTTCCCTTGGTCGAGCTGCAAACCAAGCACTGGCTGATGGGCCAGACTGGTGGGCAGAGCTCCAGGGTGCAGGTCCTGCTGCCAACGGGGGCTCCTTGTGTGAGTGGCCAGACTGTAAAAAACTAAACCAGTGCTCTTGGATGCCAAAAGTTAATTGAAGTTAACTCCATTTTAGTCTTAAGAAAGGATCTTTCCTTCTGTATTGACAGATATGATGGCTAAATCTCCTTGAGTGAGGATTTCCAAGCTTTTTCACAACACGGGTGTCCCTTCTCTGAAAAAGCTGTAATGGGGATTCTTTCTTTTGCCTTGCCAGCTCTAGGACACCCCTTGTCCCAGTTGTCTCCATCCGAAGGGCTGAGTGGGTTTTTAGACACCCTGCTGAAAATGAAGAATGAAATGTGATTTAGCACCATGGGATGAGTCAGGTGCAAATGCTGCTCACACCCCAAAACTGGTGATCCCCAGGTTGGGATCCACCACTTTGGAGCACGCTGATGTCTGGGATGACTGGGGCCATCCATCACCATCCCTTTGGTGCACTGGAGTCCCTCCGTTCACCTTTGATTCAATGCCCATTTCTCCGGTTGTGTTGCAGATGACGTCCAGCTCACGAACAAAGACCCGCGGTGGGTCGGCGCCTGGTGGCTTGGTTTCCTGGTCGCAGCCAGTCTCGTGGCCCTGTCTGCGGTGCCTTATTTCTTCTTCCCGCGGGAAATGCCGAAAGAGGTAGGAGAGGTGCTGCGGATTGCGCTTTTGGCATTGCACACAAATAGCTCATGTGTTTATATGCGCGTGCCTCCCACGCCGCCAGCGTTAGCTGCAGCGTCCGTGGGAAGCGTGGCGGTGGAAGTGGTCGTGCCGTTTATAGCCGCATCCCAAAGTCAGGTGTGGGCTGTGGTTTGCTCTCATCTCCCGTGTCAGAGGCTCTTGTATGCTAAGCAGATGCTTAATGAAACCCAGCATGGTGCGAGCAGCTGAATGGGTGGGATAATTTCCTTGGTGGGGCACTGAAACAGCACCTGTGTGTTGATTCCTCTGCAGAGGAACATATAGCACTGGGCAAGTTCTCTATGGGTTGAAGTTCTTCTCACAGCCACCCTCCTGTCTCACCTGGAGGTGGGACTCCTTGCCTTCCCTAGGGAAGCAACGGTCCTGCTCCTTCTGCTACATCTCTTTTGGGAGCTGGTGGGAGGTGCTGCGCTGATGGTCCTTGTTTCCCTTCAGGAGGAGCCACGTGTGCCCAATGAGGAAATTGGTTCCAGTTGGTAGGAAATATGAATAATGCATCAAGAGCTTTTCTTAGGAGTGGGTTGTACCCTGGGGGTGTTTGAAATACTGAGGCTGGAGGGTGGTTTGTCTCATTTCCACTGCAAAACCCCCTTTTCACTGTTCCCTCTCCGTGGGGCTCGGGGTTAGCTGCTGCTCCAGCATCTAGCTTCACCCATCACCTCTTCTCACTGCGACCTCTTTGCTGGCCAGAAGGATTTTAGACACTTTCCAGCCCCTCAGCCCTGGCTCTGTAACGTCCTCAGAGCTGTCTGGCTGGGAGAAAGCCTTGAGCATCCCGAAGCCGTTATTGCAACCCGGCTCACGCCTGCCTGCCTGCAGTTTGCTCCGGGGATGCTCGTCCCTGGCTCGTGCTGGAGCCCGTTGCTCCAGCAAAAAACCCAGAGTTTTCTGACCTCTCCAGAGCCCTCCTGGGCGCTTCAGTGCTCACGCCAAGATGCGAAACAGCTCGCGAGCTTCCCGCGCGCTTTGCTGGCTGCGGGTCCCAGTTTTCTGGCAACCGGCGTGTCGTGAGGAATAATACAAAACGAAGCGTTCTTTCAGAGGAGGCATCATGCTATGGTTTTGAGCGTTATGGAAGTTGCTGGGACGCGCTTAGTAGGTGATTTGTAGCTGCGCTCGTCTCGATTTCTTGGCCATGCTCTAGTCTGTGTAATTGTCTTTCACGTGTATTTTACCTTGGTGTCGAAACTTCCTAAGTTTCTACGCAAGTCCATGCACTGCCTGGTGCGGAATAATTCTTCATTGCTCCTGCCACGGCCTGAATTTCCGCCGGAACGAGTGGCTCTCGGGGAGATTTGGGTTTCACCTGCCTGCGAAAATGTGACCTGATATACCAGTTACGCTTCTGGGGATATAATGATCTACCCCTGGGTTATATATGCTGTCAGGTTGGCAAAGGTGCTGCGGTCCCGCGAGGTAATGGGGCAGAAACTGCTCAGCGCTTTGCAGGACGAGGGCGATACTGAATGCAATGTGCCTGATTTATCCTGCTGGAGCTTGGTTTGCTTTAAAGTCATTATGGATGATCTATATTAGCAGAGCCTGCTCGTTGTGCAAGGGTGGCACACTACATCTTATGAGAAAGGTTCTTTATTAGGGCTGGTGGGAATATTAATTTAATAAACGGCTCTTGGGAGAAAATAATGTACTTCGAACTAGAACAACTGTACTTTTTTGCAAGTGCTGCACTCTGGTCAGTTTTGAAGAGTTTAAGGAAGGATTGGTTGGATATTGATTTGGGAAAGCAGCAGGAGGCTGTCGTCTGCTCTACTGGCTGATACCTGTAGGGAATGCTTCCACATGGCGCAGCACCCATTTATCCCTTTGCAGCCCAGGTCTTCCTGAATTTCTCCCCATTTTACCATTTCCTCCAGAAAGCTTTTGGAAATTGCTTACAGTGAAAAATAATAATATGAAAATAATCTAAGGGATGGCAAAATTCTGTCCCCCTCGCAGGACAGGAGGCACCAGGGCCAGCCGAGCTGGCTTGTGCCCGTCCCATGGGGGTATCAGCACTGCTGCCAGCAGCAGCAAGGGGCCCTGATTAAAAGAAAATCCTTCTTTAAAAACGTTGCCAGATGCTGTTCTGGGTAAAACGTCTGTCTGCTGTGGGAGCACTCAAAGCTTGGTAGGAACTCTGCATTATCACAGGTGATTTTCTGTAGGTGTTGCAGGAAAAAAAAAAAATCAATAAGGATATAAGCGTGACCGCTTTTCCATCGCGAAGGGCAGCGATGTCCTCTCCAGTGAGCTGGGGGCAGCAGCATCTCTAAGGCCACGGAATTACTGTACCCACCGTTGAGCGTGTTAGAGCCACGATTCCCCTCCAAAGGAGCATCAGCCGGGGATGTGTTGCAAAACCCTGTAGAAGGGGCGGGTAGAGTTGGTAAGAGATGCAAAGCAGTCAGGAAATGTGTGTTTCCAGGCACAAAGCTCAGCACTGGTAAAGCGTTGACCCCAATTTTGCCTTCCTCTGCCCTGGCCGGAGCAACCACCCTTCCCTGGTCAGGTAGGACCCACCGTAGCTCACGGTGTGGCTTTAGGGTTGCTTCCAGGCTTCTTCTCATTGCACAGAGCAAAGCTGTTGCTTCTTCTTGTGCTTGGCTCTGGTTTGGGACGGAGAGGGGGACTGCAGCAAGGAAAGGTGGGATCCCCGTGGTAGCTCCCTGTCCCAGCTCTGCAGCACGCAGCTCCATCTTGGACACGCTGCAGAGGGGAAGGGCAGGATGGGGTCAGTGCAGGGTTTTACAGACTAGCAATGGACGTTGTGATAACCTTTGGGTCAACCCTGTCTAAATCCAGCTGCAGCTCCGAAGACGGTCGGCATTTTCCTTGGCTGCCTTCAGTGTCAGGGCTTCCGCCTGTCCAAAGCAGGAAAAAAGCAACCAGCAGCAGAGCAACCACGAGCTGCAAGCACTTGAAGGCATCAGCTGGGCTTTTCCCCGTGTTTGTAAAGCTCCAGCACAGTATCTTACCCACAGCAAATACCTCCGGGCCTGGCAGCCGTAATAACACATGGGAAAAGCACAGATCTGCTCTGTCTATGGAAGAAGCTGAGATGTTTCTGCACCACCAGCTGTGGGCTTCATTTCTGGAGGCTGAAAAGGAATTGCAGGTGCCCCAGGTCAAGCTGTCCTTGTGCCAGCTGCTGTCTGCAGACCCCTGGGACCATGGACCTCTCAGCAGATGATGAGGCTGCCTGGGAATAACGTGCCCACACCAAGCTGTGGGTACGTGTCCCCACTGCAGAGTCCACCCAGCGAGATCCCAGTAGCAAAGACTGGCCCATGGCTCAAGTCCTTCTTGCTGCTGGAAGCGCTATTTCTCTTCTCTGATTCTCATCCCACCACCATTTTCTTTTCTTCCTTCTGCCTCACTCTATGCAACTCATCTGAGCCCTTGGTGGTTTCCCCAGACCAAGGACCACCCTCCTCAACGGGCATCATCCAGCAAACACTGAATAAGAGTACAGCCCTCTGTCTCTTTGGAGACTTATTTGCCTCCTCCCATCAGCCAAGACAGATCTTGACTATTTATTCTACAACCATATTTCAGCTTTACCTTGCCATATTTCAGCTTTACCTTTATTGGATAGCTTCTTTCTTTGAAGTTCCTGGAATGACTTGTGCACTTAGTGTTAACGTCAATGATAATGAGAGTTCACTCTTTTGATCTTTTTATAATAAATCGATCCCTCCAGGCCCAGAACATTTTTATTCCTCTGCTTTGAAACTTGTCAGTAAGTTTCTAGCACCGAAGTATCCTGAATAATCCTATTTGAGGGACGATCACAGCAAAGCTATAAAGTTGTTACGATCTCAGGCAGGGAATGAGAGGATAAGGCTGTTACTGGACAAACTGTTTCCAGTCAAGACCAGTTTTTTTTCAATAATTCCAGTTTAATCCTGCCTCCAGGAGCCTGAACCATTTCTCGGGGTTGTGTCCTGGATTGTGGGGAACTACAGCTTTTGAGCATTTTCCGATTGCTGAGTAAGCCCAAGTTTAGCTCATGCTTTACCATCTGTCCCTGGCAATGTTGTGGTATCCCAACCCAGGCAGCTGTATTCTGTCTGCTACAGCTTTCCCTGTGCTTTTGCTTGGGCATGGTGTCTGTCTGTCTTGCAGGCTGACTGGCCATTGTGCTGCACCTCCTCAGTCCCTGCAGCCCCGCGGGTGACATGAAAAGGGTTTGAGAAGGGGAAAGGTGCTCTCGGGAGCACCTCAAGCAAAAGCAGGAGCATTGCCCTCGCTCAGCATTTCTCGTGTGCAAGATCTGTCTTGTACACTCAATTATCTCCAGCTTCAGGTTTCGTTCTGTGACGCTCCCAAGTCAGGCAGAACCACACGTCTCCCGAAGGCCGTACAAAGGGTTGGGTGACGCTTCCTCTTTGCCCTGACAAAGCCTCCCCTGCAACGTCAGCACACGTCTTCTGCAAATAGAAGCCTTGTGAGAAAGCTCGGATGGATTTTATGGGAAGCAGGTCTACACGTCCCAGTCCTGTCCAAGCCCTGGTGGCCCTGGTCTGCTGTCACGCAATCCCCTCTGGATATCAGTCCATCTCATCAGTTCTTTCCTCCTAAGCCTCACTGGTAGGATGTTTCAAAAAGTTATTTCCCTGCATGTTGCAAAGCTTTGTCTAATCTCCAGTCTATATTTTAACCTTTAGTTTGTTATTCTGCCCCTAATCTTGATTAAATCTTTTTTTCCTACTCATTGCCATGTCGACGTGGTTATAGAAAGCCTTCCTTTCACTGAGGGAGCTGAGCTAGTCCTCTGCTTCCAAAGAGCTTCTCCATCCCAGCTCTTCACCCATCCCAGCCACAAGCTGCACCGGTCTGGATCTGGTCTCCAGTGGTGCAGTGGAGTCTGCACTTCTCCAGCTCTCCTGGAAACACCGGCCTCGGTTCTTCCTCATATCACGCTTGCTCCTTCCACAGCTGCTCTTTGTGCAGAGACAGACCTGGAGCTATTTGTCATTCTCCTCCTCTCATTTCCAGTGTTTCCAGCTGTGCAGCAGAAATTATTTTTAAACCCCAAGGGCTGTGCCCTTTGCACTAAGTTTGGTTTGGTTTCTGTTATTTCAGCCCTCTAGTTGCCTAGTTTTTCCTACATGGTATCCCATCTCACTCTGTGTGGACAATTCCCACCTTCCTTCTCCTCTGCTGATTAAGTATCACATGTTTGGGTTTTTTTATGATCTTAAAAGTCTTTTCCTTCACACACGATTCTGTGATTCTGTGTTTTCTCACTATGCCGAGGGGATTACAGAAAATAATTATCTGGGTCTTCTGCACCAAGAGCACCAAACCACCAAGGAATCCACCAGCACCATCCCTCTGAGATGCTCTGTTCTCTTTCTCATATTTAGTGAGGTTGTGTTTACTCTCCTAATATTCATGTTCTCCAGCTTTAGTGGTTTCCCATATGGTGCCACATGTTCTGCTTTGCCCAGGTCTGCAGAGATTAGACCTACTGCATTGCCTTTATTTATTTAGTCACCAGTGTCGTTGAGGAGGGAGAACAGGCTGCTGCTGATCCATCCCACCCTAACCCAGCCATCCGGAGGACTTGTGGGTGCCAACCAGAAGAGATGAGCAGGATGATGCCTCTTTCGTGTCCTTCTTCATCTCAAAGCTGTGGCACTTCATCCTTGGCATGATACTTCCTTGGCGTTGCTAACGGAGGAGGTGGAAGGGGCATGGTCATCTCCCATGGGATGGAATGGGGAGGCTGGGAGATGAAACCCTTTGCAGAACAGAGGAGGTGGATTTCTGGGGGTGTTTCACAGTGGGGATGGAGGGATGTGAACTGCGCGGGTGCTCAGGGCGTGCAGCAACGCGATGGCTCTGTGGTGGCCTAGCAAAGTGCATCGGATGGGATTTTCCACTGGGATGGTGGGGGATGTCCCCCTGTCATCTGTACAATATCTCCAGATTTTACTTTCAATTGCTCTGCCGGATAGTTGGAGCAGACACTTGAGGAAGGAAGGGACCACCAAGCTGGACATGCAGCTCTGTCCTGGAGGAGATGTACGTGGCAGAGCCGAGGGCTAAGAAGTCAGCCCCCATCTCCCAGGGGAAAACCCATCTGTCTGGGCAGTGCCTGTTGAGCGGGGACAGCTGGTGGGTTTAGGACCACAACCTGAAGACTGGATCGACTTTTTTCATCCCGAAAAGCACCTGGAGGTGGCAGGAGGGGGCTGCAAGCATGGAGAAACCTTGAACGAGGTGTGTCCATCTGAAGTGTTTGGGCATCGCCGTTCCTGCTGGAGGTGGCATCTCTTGGCAAGGTCCCGAAACAGGTTCGTGACAAGGGGAAGCTCCTGCAGATAAAATGCAACCAGGAGCCCTCCTGCCCCGCCCCGAGGATGCCCCATAGATGCTGGTGCAGCTCTTGGCTGCGTCGCGGGATTGCAGCAGCACGTCCCAGCCTGCCAGGACCCTCCTGCCCTGCGTCGGGGTCGCTGGGGACTTCCCAACCCGCGGAGGGTATTTGCGGAGGGCAGACAGCTGACATCTCTGTCCCCGCTTGTCCCCGAGGGTCTCAGCAGGCATCCCAGCTCCGGCGTGGGGGGACGGTGCTGGGGCAGCGACTCGACCCTTCTGCGCGGGCAGAGCTTTTGTGCAGCGGCGCTGGGGTGGGGGGAATAACTTCTCCGGTTTCCGTCTTGGGACAGGTCGCCGGCGTTTATGCAAATCCTCTCATGTTTATTCCGCGGTGACTTGGAGCGCTTCCAGCGCGCCTGAAAAGCTGAAACGAAAAAATGACCGACCTGTAACCCAAACTGGAGCGTTCCCAGTTAATGGGCAAAGCTTAAGGAGCGGGGACGGGGAAATCTAAGTCTTTGCCTGGAAACCTTTGCCCCGGGGGCTGCGATGCTCTGAGGCTGCCTCGTTGAAGTCCCTAAAGCACCAGCGAAGGCGGTCTAGAAACACAGGGCACTACTTGGGGAGCAACTGGGGGCCAAGTGGCAGGACGTGGTGGTGCCACTGGCATGTGACAGGAGTGGGCTGGTCTCTACGTTCGGATTTTCCCCAGCGAGCTTTAAAGACGGGAGCAAACGGCAGCTAAGAATAATCATCCCGTTTCACGTGGGCAAGGTGCCTGTCGGCTGATTATTTTAACACTCGAGGAAATAGGGTCCCTGGTGGGACCCACACTTGCTGGAAGAGGCATAATGGAGTGTTTGTAGGGAGCATGACCTTGTCAGGAGGGAAATAATTCTTTTTCAAGCTATGAGGTTCAGCATGTTGTTTGTTTAATACGAAAATAGCTTCTCTCACCTTATTTTTCATTGAGCCGGAAGCGCCAGGTTCTGCACAGCCAGAGGGAAGCTCTGCAGAAGCCTCAAATTAAGCAAGGAAAAACCGCTCTGTCACAGAGCAGGTCATTTATCCCTTTTTCCAGTGGTGTGTTTGAATAAAACCAGAGTGCCAGCACCTCTGGCTGCCCTCCTCGCAGGTGCAGGAGCAGGCAGGTGAAAGCAGGAGCCCGGCTCGCAGGCAAGCTGCCTTCATTTGCCTTTCCTGCAAAAGCAAGTCCGGGTCTCAGCCCTGCTCAGTCATACCCGATTTATTCACGTCTGCGCAGGGAATCGGGCGCTTTCCCCAGGTCGAGGCCAGGTTAGGGATGCTCTTCCTAATGCAAAGCGCGGGGGAGCTTCGTCCTCCTTCCTCAAGACCCTCTCTGCCTCCCCCGACCCGAGGCTAGAAGTGACGGCGGTCGATAAAACCCCGTTGCAAAAACATGAGACGCAACGTTCACCGGTGGCCATGCACCAGGAAACCGCGTCCTCTAGGGAATCATCCTGAAAAATCCAAGGGCGGGGGCATTTTGCAAGATCTTTCCCACATTTTTCTGTTTTCCCTTGGCACGATGCTGCAGCAGACGGCCGGGGAGGTGTTGAGCAACCAGCCCGTGTTATCGCACCTACCGATGCCAGCTTGCCAGATCGTCTGC